AGATTGCAAAGGTAAGATAAAGCTTTTCTAACAGGTGCTGGAAGTCCTTTCGATCATGAAAGGATGCCATTGAACTGCTGAATCTTAAGTGACAGCACAGAGTTCCTTTGCACAGAAACATTGTCTTCAGTCTATGCTGACAACGTAAAATGTTCGTGCCATCAAGGACAATCTGTTTCTGAGCCTTCCTTACGGGTATGGAGGTGTTAGCTGAACATAACTTATCTGAGGCAACTTTTTGATGTGTTCCCGTATGGAGAGCAGAGATTCTGGGGAAAAAGGCAAATTACAGATGGTGCAATAGCATGTTGATGAAAGCTGTGACTTATGTATGGGTGTAAGAAACAGGACGTAGGTCCTCATCTACATTTTAGTTCATTCCAATCCTTAGAGAAGTTGCTTCCATCTGATGTTTTGGTTTGGCCCCATATGCAACTAGAGATCTGCCTTCAAATGTCATTCTCAATCTGGATTCAGTCAGTGAGCAGCCTGCTTTACCAGGTTAGAACAGGAGCTTTAACTTGGACCATTATGAGGATTTGTCTTCATTCTGATTTAAAAAATACATGGCCCTTCAGATTCTGTTTTCAATGACTGTAAAGTCTCCTAAAATCAAAAACTTTGTCTTCAACTCTTTGAAAGAGAATGTTGAGGACTCTGATGCTGCCTCCACTATTACCACTCTAACTTTTTATCCATTTGCTCTAAAAAATGAATGTACAACTCATTAACCTGGCTGTAAACTTAAAATCTCTAAAAAGCACTGACTTTTTAGAGACTTTCCAGGGCCAAGGAAAGCTATTGTGTAACTGAGTTTTCACTTTCTTGGTGTCTATCTGTGTAAGATATCTGTGGCTACCATGGATAGGCATGTAGGCATGTGTTGTCTTGCATTTGTTACGTGGCTCTAGGTATTCGTAGTTTCCATTTTGTGGTTCATTTAAAGGTTAAAAAAAAAACAAACAAGGAAAAACAAAAGCTTTCTTCCTTCCTAGTCCTTGCCACGCATTGTGAAAAATAGCTCCAACCAATTTAAAAGAGTTTTGTTTCTTATATTCTGAAGAGAAGATATTATCATGAGAAAACTAAAAGAAATGAATTTTGCATTTAATTTGGCACGCAGTAAAGTCATAGCTCTCCCCTGGGAATTCCATTTTATCTTCTGGTGATCCAGCTCCCAGGAAAGTTTCTGTATAACTGCCTCCTTATGGACCATTCTTAATACTGTTCTAAAAATGAGGACAGTGGCTATGACTGTTCAGCATCTTTCCTTCATATTATTTCCGTAGTTCATTTTAATTTTTTTTTTAAACAAATTGCATTTCTATAATGCAATCTCTTCACACCAGTAGCAGCAGCAGAGTTTAGAGATGTATGAAAGCTGTGTCTCCATACTGTGAATGGTGTAGAAGGTGATAAAAAGCTTAGAGGAGAAAACAGCTTGGGAGAAAGGAGGATTAACCTCCCTTACTTAGAGTGGAACAGATACCAAATTATATTTGACTTGACTTGCATTCCTAGTTTGGATTCATTCAAATTCAAGGGGGGATGTTCTTGGGGAAGTTGTGTGGGAAGGAGCTGTAGTTCTTGTATTTTACACTGGCTACATATGCAGTGGAAACTTGGTAGCAAATACAGAGCTGTTTGCTAAAATAAAGTATTTTTTTTTAATTGAGGAGAGTGGTTATTTAAAAAAAAAAAAAAAACAAAATCCTCTTCCTGCACCATTTCAGAGAGCTCTTCCTCCCTGAGCTGCCGTGTCCTTCTTGGAGCTGTTCCTCAGAAATAATTCCCAGGGTGAATCCACCAGCAAACAGCACTGGTGACCGCAGCTAACTCCTAGCTGTTGATCTTGGAATGGATGATGAAATGCAATCCTCTTTTGTGGAGGATTTTGGGTCTGGTTCTTTTGGTGCTGTTCCAATCCAAATCTAAACCCAAGCATTTCTGAGTTCTCTATGAAAGGAAGCAACACCATAGGTGGACTGGGGCTTGTAGGCTCTCCTGGGGCTATGGGTCTCCATTTGTGAAGGAGACCACATGGTGTGCTCTTCTGAAGCTGCAAAGCCTGTGGCTACAGGCCCGTGGAAGCAGGGTGAGCATGAAGGTGTAACTTAACACTGAGAAAGACAGACAGGACCTCCGGTACAAGGATGAAACAGAAACTGCAAACTCCTAAGAGCCTCCTGCTCTTAGAAAAGCCTCAGCGCTGCAGAGCAAATCTGCATGGGCAGAAGGCCAGGCTTTCTGCATGGGTGACTAGGAGAGTGCAGTTCCCCTGGGGCTCAAAAGTCTCTGCCTGAACTTTAGGGAAACTGCTCTACGTTTTGGATCTGTGTCCCAGCTTTCTCCACAATTTCCTCTTCCTCAGCAGAAATATGTGGAATATAGCTGACATGGAAATGAGGCATTTAAAATTTTACTGCTTGGCGTAGCACAATAGTTGTACTGATGGTGTCCGTAGAATGGCTTTCTGCATTCAGCCATAAACCTGGCAATTGCTATCATCACTTATGCTCACCCCAAGGAGGGCTATCATTTCCCCTTTACTTGTACTCAGGGCTTTCTTACCCCACCCCACCCATGGTGTAACTCTGGTTGCCCTACTAAATGTTTTAGAAAACATAATTTCAAATAAAATCTTCAAGGCTTAATTTAGACAAGAATACTTAAACTTTTCCATAGACATGAAGTCACCAGTTGGCACTATTCTGTGTTTATAGAAATAGAATCTGCTTTTTATTATTTGCTTTTTGTTAGGTAAGCCCCTTTAACCCATGCTGTCTACTACACTGGTCTGCACACAGTGGTAGCCTGACAGGTGATGAACTTCTCCATCAGTTGGTTTTTCAGTGGCTGAATAACTTCCACAACTAACTAGTGGAAGCATCAAAGTCAGACCTGAATAATACTTCTTGTGTGTAGTTTTTGGATTAAAATGAAGACTAAGATTTAAGGCTATGCCTGAAATCCTATGGAAATCCTTTTCCTTGGCACCTCAACATAATGAGAGCAATGACTACTTTAAAGAAAATATTACATAATTGTGGGAAGCAATTTTTGAGTCCATAATCAATAAAATAACTTAGAATGATAACTGACTAGTGAGCAGAGTGAATTATACCTTGGGTTCCTCTAAACCATTGGTACAAGTTACGTTTCAGAAATTTCTGCAAACATAAGTCTGTTCACAAAGGAGCCATTGATCAATAATTAAGGGTAGAAAATATTTGGAAGACATTTTTTAGAAATCAGAAATCAGCAATAAATTATTGTTATGTGGTACATAAACATGAAAGAGAAAAAGAGATGAAGATTATAGTATTTATTTTACATTTTTGTCTGACTTTTAGGTTTCTGGATAACTGTAACAAACTGTAACTTAAAAGGTATTATGAAACGATGATAAAAATCTAAAGTTTCTAAACACTGTTCCCAAAGAAGATGGTAATTGTGAAAACTAGCTCTTGCCTATTCAAAAGGAATATATCTTGAATGAGTGCCAAAATTGCATATTATTTCTGTCACTTTCATGAACATCAAAATTAGTATGCTTCTTTAAGCAATGTCCAAAAGAGAGTGAAGGGACTTCATTGTTAATGTTTATTGTGAAAATGTTTCTAAGCATTAAATGGCAGGCTATACTGTTTATATTGGACTTAGATCCAAAGCAGTTCTTGAAGCTGTTTTGTCAGGTGTTAAACTGCACATAAATATGCCATATTACTGATTATTGCAATTGTGCCGTAAATTAGATGATGTAAAGAGGACAGTTCACTGCTATTGTAAAGAGGAACTGTAAAGCATATAAATCTTCTATAGATATCAATAGCACGACAGTCACAAGATTAAACTCTGACCATTCTTTTGCTGTCTGGCCATGCAGTGTGTGTTTACCTGAAATCTGTTTTCTGCCTTGTGAGGTGTGCAAGTATTTACAAATGGATCCTCTTGTGACTACCACTGGGTTTGAGGGGCACGGACATTTGTATATGTGCATGTTGAAGGAATAAGACTTTTGCACTTAAGCCAGAAAGATAAACTTGTCATTTTGTAGAAATACTCAGCGTTCTCATATACTTTTAAATGTAAATCATAAGGCATAAACAGACATTAGGACTGCAAATTCAGTCCAATAGATTCAGAGACCATTCGCCCAAGGCATGTACTTCAAGGATCATGAAAACAGCAGATCCATGTTTAGCTATGATGCATCTGCAGGATGAAGTTTGTTCCATTGACAGCTGAAGAAAATTGTTAGTGAGCAGAGGCCCCACCCTCCTTGTGCCTACACTGAGATGCATAAAGACCTATAGAAAATACTTCTTCCCATTTTGAAGAAACCATCTGATAGTGTTCAGCAACTTTTTGTTTCAGTCCAATTTATGTGCATAATCCTTAAAAGCAAAACAAGGTAAGCAAGTAGGAATGTTCATAATTTCCTTCTCTGGCTCACACATGGTATTTTTGGTTGTGTTGGAAACCTAACTCACATCTTATGTTTCCAATGCTTTATAAGAGTTCATTTGGAATATTGCATTTTACTGTCTCGAAGTGCATGGGTATTTCAAAGTAACGGCACCCAGCTGCAATCTCCTGCTACTAGCACATATCCCAACGGAACGACGTCCAGTATGAAAATACATTATTTTTAATCATAGTAACATTACTGAACCTTCCACATGCCGTTCTAAACTTCTGAGAAGTGTTTAAATGTAGCTTAACATTCAACTCAGTCAGCCAATTTGATCTTGCCTGCTCTTTGTCTGGTTGCAGAACATTGTATCTCTGTGAAATGCATTCCTAGTAGCTTCCTTCCTTTATCTTACACCAGTCATGGTACAGGTTTGTATTGCACAAGCCTGTACTGTAATTAGGAGATTTTCCTTTTTGATTTATATTTCTGGAGATTGTAGTTTATTGCTCTTAGCTGTACTGTACTAAACTGGCAGAAATGTGAGCAACTTTGTTTTTATGTTCAAACCAAGGGAAGAGCTCTAAACCTGCCTGGCAAAAGTTCTCAGTTTTGACAGCTTTTACCACTACTGGGTTGTATTCCTCCTTGTTTGCAAGATGGTATATTTTCAGGATTTTGCAAGGTATTTGTTGCCTAATAATTTTGTACATTTACTTTGTTAATATTCTTTTAATTGCTGTTTATGTTATAATCAAAACAGTTATTTGGGTCTGAGCCTCAAAATGGAGTATCAAAATAGCATTCATACTAACTTCCATGGAAGTATATGGTATTATTTTTACAAAGAAGCAATCTTACAAAAAATTTCAGGATTCAGCAAAGTCTAAAAGATTTTTCAGTTGTTGTTCTTGTGTTTTATTTGTTTTTGTTTTAGTCATTGCTGTTTAGTCATTGCCGGGGACTGTCCAAAAACTGTTTTGTAGTAACAAATGTTAGCCTGCTTCTCCTTTAATAGCTCTGCAGCAAGGGGATAAACTCTTAACTGGACATTAGCCAGGGAAGAAAAGTATCTGGGAAGAGTTTCATTCTCTGTCAGGACTGTTTAAGTGATACTGAGCAAGAAGTGGGAGACGGTGGAATAAGAAAAGAGCTTGTGCTGGTGTTGCTCCTCTTAGACAAAATTTCATTGCTACTCAAAGCCAGAAAGACTATTTAGGAAGCAAAATCTTTGCTGTATTTTTTCCCCTTCCTGATATTTTAAGGAAGGATTCTTATTAATTAAAGCCTTTTTTTTTTTCTTTCCATTTTCTTCTATTTATATTCCCCTCCCTAGCACCCCCTTTTTCCAAGCTGCTTATCGCTGAGCTCTGTTTCCCACCAAAGAATTCGGAGAAAAGAAGGCTTTTCACTATTTTCTCTTGTTTATACTCTTCTCTTAGGGATTAAAGTTCTTTTTCTCTGCTATCTCAGTCCTTAAGGCATTCTAAAGCTTTCTTCATCTTTCCAACAGACACCCAGTTATTCTTACTAGAATCACTGGAGATCATTCTTTGTAAGGTTGTTATAGGTTTGAAGGTTCTTACAGGGTTTGTTATGGAAGTCTTGAAAGAAACATCTCTTGTGGGTCATGCCTACACAGTCCCTTAGGAAAAAGACACTACCTGCAGGCTTGGCTAGCCAGGGAAGTTAGCTCAGTTTCAGCACCACTCTGCAGCTGTTTTTCTTTTATTTTACATAACTGGGAAATGATTTGAAGGTCAAAAAATATACTGACAATGAAGAAACAGTTATAGGATGGATCATTTCAGGACATCTGAAATAGGAAGTCCAATATCTTTTTAACCTTATGTGCATATCACATTTATATCAGAACTGTGCATGTAAATGTGAATAAAGCTTAGCCTGAGCTGTGAAATAATTACTGTGAGACTGAAATTTTGTGGGATTAGCTGGTGATCACAAACTGAAACTGTCATTGACTGTAGCCATCAACCATGGCTATCAGACCACAGTTAGGTCAACTGCATAAAGATAGTGTCATCACAAATTAATTTCAATATCAGCTTTATCACTTCCTCTTGAGGCAACAGGAGAGCTGACATTGGGATGACTTTTTGTATTTGATTGAAGAGATAGTCTCAATGTTTCAAATTCCCCTGTCTGTGTGGGATCTGAAGAAGACATGTTCTCCTGCTGTAAGTGTTGTGGGAGCAAAAGAGAAGGAAATGACCGACTCTTCTTGATTTAGAGCAGTTTTCCCCTTCTCTCCCAGCCTGTGTTCTGAGAAAGGCTGACCAGTTGACTGAGGATTATGGAAAGCAGGTTTAGATGCATGCATTTTGTTTCTCATAAATACGTTATTTACCCTTTTTGGTAAAAGTTCTGGGTAATAGCGCTTCATTTTTTTTTAAACCACTATTCTCTAATCATTTAAATTATCATTTTGTTAAATGCATTTAAGGTATTTAAGATCAGTTGGCTATTTAGAATTACTGCAAATGGTAAGGTTATGGTAAAAATGTAGATAAGCTGAATATCAGCCTGCTAAAAGTAAATAGCAATGAGCTTGGTTTCCTTTTGGCAAAAAAAAAGAACAAATACTCTCTGCTGATAGCTCCTGCAGTCCTTACAATGTCATTTAAAGACTTTGCTAAAGTATGGTAGTATATATTTCATTTAATTTGCATTAAATGTTATTGATTTGTATTTCTTCATTCTTATTGTTTTTCTGATATGCACAGATGCTGCACAGGCAGCCTGATTTCTTTTCCCCACCCTGAGGGTGCCTGTTTCAGCAATGTCCCCGTAGCTGACGAGGTTACAGTTGGGTGGGAGAGGAGCAAACACATGTTATGTAAATCTTCAGATCTCAGAAGCCAGGCTAAAGAGTTTCTCAGGACCTTCACCTATATTAAAAACAAAATGCTGTTATAAACTTAAAAGATGACTATGCTGAGTTATAAATGATGCCTGTTATCTAAATGGTTTCATGGCTACTCATTATTTTATTTTCATTCTACTTTCATTTTCTTGTCCCATTTTATAGACAGCTTTATAAAACCTACAGTGTTTTAACACAAATATCTTGCCTTGCTATGATCAGGAAGCACTTATTCACACAAAAAAAACTATTGTAAAAAAATATTGTAGGGAGGTTAGCATACTAATTCTTCCTGACAGGTAAAGAGTTAAACTCATAACAAGTTCCCAGCATGAAAAGGGCAGAGGATTAATTTTTGTCTGTTGTGAGCATGATAGTCTCGATCAAGCAAGTACCAAGAAGCTTTTTCATCATACAGAACATCAGCCTATTTGCCACAGCCTGCACAGAGGGCTCCAGTATGAAATTGCAATATTTGAGCAGCTGGTTTAAAGTGTCTGGAAGGAAAATAACTGCTGGATTATCTCAGGAAGCTATTACTAAACAGCAGTAATATATAAGAAGGATTGATTCTGCATTTCTCAGTTGTGTAAATCGAGTGTACAAGCACTTTTCAGAACAAATTACTGCTAGAACCATTTTTTTCCTTGAAAGAATTAACTTGGTGCTATATATGTCTGAAAACTAATTTTTTCTTCAAACTACTCAAAGTGTGTTTTGGCGAAGTATGTATTTACATTGAAACACTGATCAAAATACCATCTAGGTTTAAGAGAGGAGTTCCTGGGCTGGATTTCCCTCTCCTACTGTCATTGTACCCAGAGGGCTGCCCTGAATCAGTGGTTCCCAGGGGCCACTATTTCTGGCGGGTGCCAGCAGGACGCTTTCCTGGAGGTGCCAGAGTTGTGGTTTTGGGACAGCTCGGCTGTATTCACATGGCTGCATGCTTTTGTAGTTAATGTTTTTCACAGAATTCTCCCTCTGCAACAAATATCAGAGATTCCACTTCTCATCCGGCAGTTGTAACTCCTCCTTCTTCTGGAGATTGTATTTTGAGCACTCGCACCCCACTATAACTAGACTTTATTTATTGACTGTCAGCCACGCAGTGCTGTTTGCAGAGAATACAAAAATGCGTCATCAGCTGGACATTCTGAGTATGTTGTTGTACGCCAATACCTCTTGCATGTGGGAGTGATAATGGTCTGTTGCTGATGTGCTTAATGAAGACTGCTGTAGGTGATGCTGCTCTGAGTCTGTTTACAAACAAACAAACAGCCTCCAGCAGGTACACCCTTGGGGCAGGCCAGACGCTGAGATTTGTGTGCATCATTATGCGTGTGTGGGCAGTTAAGATATTTGCGGTGAAACCTTGGCCTCATTGAAGTGGGTGGCAGCTTTCCCACTGCCTTCAGTTTGGCCAAATACTAGCCTTTCTGTTGGTATTTATTTACCCAGAACACTTAGCTGAGTTCAAGAGAGACTAAGCAGCATAAAATTCAGCAAGATGCTGTTGCCTTGCAAAATGAGCTCTGAAATAAGTTGACATACATGGAGTCTGTATTTATTTTACTGTCCAAACATAGTGGACAGTATAAATTTGAAATTGTTTTAACTCAGGATTTAGCAGAGATGATCTGTAGGTCCCCTGGAAGCGTTTGCAATTTTCTTGCTACACAATTCCCTATGTAATAAGAATAAATGATTAAATTCAGGTCCAGCAAAATACATGAGGTTCCAGAACAGGATGACCAACAGATGCATGATGGATTAAACCACATTCTAAAAGCCTCCCTCTTCCATGTAAGTTTCCCACAGAATAAGACTGAAAAAGAAAAGTTTGATTTTTAATATTAAGCAGCAACGTCTATGCACTATGTGAAAGCTGAACTTATCTCTGGGCTCCTTTTTTAACTGAATGTGCTAGGACTCCTCGGGGTTCAATTCCAGGCAAAAAAACGCTCTTGCATGAGGTCTACGAGTTGTTACTGCTTTATAAAAATCCTGAGAATTTCTATACTTTTAGAAAATATGTGGTTTTTAGTGGCATATAATAAGGATGGGCGAATCTGAAGCGGGAGGGTACATAACCTTTGGAAAGAGACTGTGTAATTATTGCCTGTATTACCATTCAGTAATGCTGTCTCTACCGTGACATATCCATCTTAGACTGTAAGACATAAAGCTGTGCCTTATCATCAGAATCTATTTCAACTGGTATGGCTTAGATCGTCCTGTTTTCTCATTTGTCTCTGGTATTTCCTGGCCTTAAAATCTCCAGACCACCTGGGGCTCTTAACCCCCTTTAATAAGTAGGTCCATCACATTTCCCCCGTGTTCAGAAATGGCACAGCTGCTTCCAATATGCTCTGCAGGGATCATAAAAATAAGTACAGTATAAAACATTATAACCCTATTTCCATTTTCTTTAGCATAGCTCATTTCAAGACATTAGACATTCTGCAAGCGCTGCTGTGATGGTTCTCTCTAACCACTCTGTTTTTAAACATCCCAGTCAGATACTGGTATCTTTAGGCCATGAAGTAGCAGTTTAATAGCCTCAAACAAACCTGCATGATTAAAAATAGTGTGCAGAATCCTGTTCCTAGAGTTTTTCACCCTCAGTGCAAGTCGCTTACTCTTCTGCTGGGCTCTGGGATGTTCAACACAGGCATCACCTGCACAGGACATGGGGCAGTATCTGTGCATGGTCTTCAACAGTGGGTCCCTGGCTTCTCCTGCACTTTAGTGTCTGCAGGCGCCGTCTCTCATGGACAATAGTTTCTCCTGCTAATGGGTCTGGACAGAGAGGAGCCGTGGCTTTCAAACAATATTTCTTTGAAATACTGCCTAAACTCATTCTGTGTCTGTGACCTGGACTAACAGAGTAGCTGTCAAAAAGTGGTGCGTGTTGTTTGGGTTTTTTATTACTAATCCGGTTGTTCTTCTCACATCAGCAGAGAGGATACAAATATCTGTATGCATGCATCTCTGCAGAGCTCAAGGGTTTATTTAAATACATCGCAAGATGTTTTCAGGAATTAGCAGAAGGTGAGTGATGCTGGCCTTACTAAGGCTCAGCACCAGCACTCGTGCTGATTAATCAGGGGTCAGAGTTTTACCCAGGCTGCTCATACTGTACGTGATTCAAAAACTGCAAGCATTTGCAAATGACCACATAGTTCAGAGGTTCACCATTTGTACTTAACCTACATTACAAGCAGCCATCTGCAGATTGTTATACACCAAGAAATCCATCATGTATTGGAGATAGTAAACCTAACTGTCATTCATAATCTATTCTACGTTTTATTTTCATCATGTGTGAGTTATCTTTTTTGTTTCATTTTTTAATTACTTCACAGGTGTCATTACATATGGTGTCTATACACAGGTGTCTATTACATAGACTCCAATGAACATCTGTGCTAGGTGACAATATTCTTTTTTTTACTAGTGTATTTACAGTTCCTCCTCCTGGAGAACAAGTTTGTGAATGTGATTTAGGAAGGAGAAAATGCAGCAACAGCATTTTGCTGGCTCCCAGTATCTGATGACTTACACCTACAGCTGCATGTGGCATTAATACATTGAACTGGTCTTTTTCCAGGAGCAAGATACCATTTTCAGCCCAGTGCCTCTCAGCATGTTCCTCTGGTGCACACAGCTGCAGCATCACCATTTCTCAGGAGACATCCATCTCCTTGGAACCCCCCAATAGTAACAAATTGCTTAGGGCCGTTTCTGTTGGAGTAAACTTTGAAATATGTACTTCTGCAAGTGATTCTGTTTTCTTTTCATACACCATTTTTCTTGCTACATTTACTGTTTCTTAGTATCATCAGTGACTAAATAAAGGCTATATAACCCTCACAACCAAGTTTCCATTTGGACCGGGGCATGCCAGGTCCAGAATTCCCAGGCCCAGGATTGCAGACACATTGCTATGGCAACAAAGCAACATCATAAAGATACAGGCTGTGACCTCACAGAGGCATCCCAAACAATTGAGAACTGGATAGAAAAAGCCGTATTGTCAACTAAATAGAGTTTGATCATGGACAGAAAGGAAGACAAGAGCTACAAATTATATTTTATGTCCTACAGATTATTTTCTTTTCAACTTTGCTTCCCTGCTTTGCAAACTGCTAAGATCTTTTTAGAAGCTGGAAATCTGTTCTTAATCCAGTCAATTTAGGCTTAACACAAGCAGAGTATAACAAATGGATAATGAAACATGCCTCCTCTATAAGTACTTCTCAAAGTTTACTAGTGAATGACGATTTTCAAATGAACTCAGACACTTTTAACTGAACTTTCATCATTATTTTAATGTTTCTCTTTCCTTCAGTGCTAAAAGGCACTGATTACAGATGTAATCACCAACCAAGCAGTCCAGCAATACCCCTAGTAAGGAAGAAAATAATATTTCCTTGAGCTAGAATAAAAGTGACAAATTTGACTAAAAAGTGGTGAATGACAAACAGGCAAAGGGAAAAAGTACTTTAAGAACTTTTAACAATTGAAGAGACAGACAAATTATTGAGTTGTGTCTGTTAGATGTAAAGAGAATCTAAAACCCAAATATGGCACAATATTTTCGTGTTCCTTTTTTTTTTTTTTTTTAAATAATTTTCAAATATCCTAGATCTTCTATGATCTCTCTAAATGAAAAAGCTATCAAATTATTTTCACCCATATCTGTTGTACAGAACATACTTCGCACAATTCAATCTGAGGAGTGCGGCCCATGACCTAATTGCAACGACCTCATGCGTCCATGAACCTGGCTCCTTTCCATGAGTGTGAATCATTCAAAAACAGGCCTGGAGCCCTGTGAATATGTACAACCAGTTATTTTTAGCAACTACTTATTTTTTTCCAAAAAGCGTTGACTTCTCTGTTGAGTCCCTGGGGTTCTCCTGCTCTCAAATGCCAGCAGCCTCTGGTGCCAACAGCCGCAACTCTGCTGTGCTGCCTTGCCAGTCAGCAGGGTAGGACAGCAAACAGCCACTCATAGCTTTCAGTGCTAAGAAGTATAATACAAATAATTTGTGACATCTGAGAGAGACTTGGTAAGCCTGGGCAGCTCTGGATTGTCAGGAGTCCCTCTCTATCATCAGGAGTAACATTTTCTCCCACTTCCAAAAATGGTAATGAAATTTGAAAAGAGGGCTGGTTTGTTCTGATGCGGTGATAAAAGTGAGAGATTTGCTATGTTTGCACATCATGCTTCTATTCTTGAAATGACTGTTTTATGAACAACGGTGAGGAAATTAAACAGGATTTGAATTTGCCCTTCAGGTTATAAACAGCTCTAGTATTTACAATGCACTTTGCACTCGAGTCTGTTGTAGCAGCAATGTTAACAGCAGCTAAATTAAAGTTGCCTAAAGATTTCCATTAGCCCATGCAAAAGATATTTTTAAGTACGTGTGTATATAATCTTTGACTTGCATGAAAAATCAAATAGTTATTTGTTGTAATACTTTCCATATTCGTTTTTGGATATACTAAAAAGAAGCTCAAGATTCTCACTGTAGGTCAGCTTATGGCTCAATTTTTTAATCTTTTCTCCTTTTTCAGTCATTTTTTTTTTTAATGTTGAGAATTGTAAGAAAGCTCTGGTGCAAGGCCAGTACCTAGATTTGCAGAAGGCTCAGCACAGAGCACCAGCTAAGCGGAGAGCACTGGGAGAAGCACACTATCTCCAGCCTCCTAGTGCAACAGTCTCTGATTGACAAATGGAGTCTTAGGGTCCCTTTCATTGACTTGCTGAGTGAGAGGAATTGTTATCTGAGACAAAAGATACCTTCATTTTTATCCAGTGTGAACAGTGAATGTTTGTCAAAGACTTGGTTTCTTTGTTGATGTGGTTTTTAGCCTTTTTTTTTCTTTTTTTTCTCTCTTTTTTTTTTTTCTTTTCTCTTTTTTTCTCCATTTCTCTATTTCTCTCTTCCTCTTTCTTTTTCTTTTCCCTCTTTTTTTTTCTCTTTTTCCTGAAAAATAAAGAAAAGATAATAGATTATTTTTCTATACTTGTAATAGCAAGATTTTCAGATACACCTGGATCATTATTATAGGTATATTACAAAAGTGTAAATGAGCCTCTTTCCCCAGCTCTGAAGCAGTGCCTAGACGTAGAGTTAAGAACTTGAATTTGACCTGTCCCACAATCTAGACTTTAGCATAACTCAGCAAAAGCGGAGGAGCTGCTTTGCATGAAATTAGTCTTGTTGTATAAGCAGACTTACCTTGTCAGGTGAGAGGGAGGAGTGGGCAAAATAACTATCTGTAGCTGTTCCTCTCAGACTTATCAGAGAGAGTAATCTCCTGCATGATTTCCAGGCCCCACAGTGTTGGATATCTGCCATAAACAGCAGGAATTTGGTTTGCTGAGAATTTGAATATGTAGAAAAGATTCAGAGAGGTACCCTGAAATTCATAAACTTCACCCTTTTTTCACCATCAAGAGCAGTAGCCTTGACCTATGCATCCTAAGAAGTCTTTCTGTCCAAGTTGAATGTCTCCCTTCTCACTCGAGAGTTCGTTTTCATTTGCTATTTGAATATCTAATATCTTTATGAACTACATAGCTGAGAAAACAATCTATACTTTCCTCATTCTACCACTGAATGACTTTTTTAAAAATTAGAGTTGTTTCTGTGCTTCATTTAACAGATGCAGAAATGGGTGTACATTGCTATTCAGCCTTGAATCAAGGTGCCTTTGCTCCAGCAGCCTGCCTCCCACCACAAGCACTTCTGGAGGCCATATGAGAACTTTGGTACATGTAAATGTAAGATAATTCACTTTCCACAGTTGGTCTTATCTGCATTTCTAATAGGTCATGACTTAAAGCTTAATTATTAAAAATGTTCTCAGAGCTAAATTAAAAAAATAACAAAAACAAACACAAAGCAAAACAAAAAGAAAACCTGGAAACGTTAGCATTGAGATAAATAATCAAAGTGATTTTGATATTTGTTAAACTTTTGCTAGCAAAAACACCAATCAGCTTGGGTCCTTGGACCCATAACCATCCTTTCCTTGTAAGTTCCATTGCTTCAGTACTTGCTGTTATAGCAACAGACACTTTGCATATTCAGTTAACATTATCTGGTTATAAAATGCAAAAAACGATTACTTCACCTCTGCAGGTTTTGCTACTAGTAAGCCTCAAATTTCCACAGCCAAAAGATTTACTGGAATATTTCTTATTAAAAAGCTTACCTAAACTAACAAAGCACTTCGAGCTTGCATTTGATATGTTTGGTATCTGTGGTATTCTTCATAAAATCAGGTTAATCTGAGACAGTTTGTTAGTTTGGCTGTGGTCCCCCTCCTCCGAGTAGTGACATGGAAGGGGACTGAGTATTCCTGAAACACTGATGGAAGTTGTACATAGAGGAAATGCTGCATTTCCTTTGTTCTTTATATGTTCTATAAATATTTAATGTGTTTGTTAAAGCTGTGTTATTTCTGGAAGCATGCCTACTCTCTTGTTTAATTTTTACTGAATCCTTCATGGCTGTAGGTAGCTTGGGATACACAGAAATTTAGCATTCCATATTTATGCTTTGCTAATAGACTCCACATGAAGATTGGGAATGTAAATGGGTTACAAGGAACAGAGAGGGAAATTTTTAGCACATCTAAAAAAGAACTGGACTTAGAGTCCTTTGGGTGAAAGACATTTCTATTACTCATACTTATGACTTTCCACCCTTCTCACAGAAAAAAAAGAATGAGAAAGGTCATCAAAGCTTCCTAAGCCTGATCAGATATCAGAACGGTCCTGCTGTGTTTTGCATCTTGACACTTTGAATTACAGCAAAAGAATTTTTAGCAACATTCTCTTCTTTTTCCATCTTTTTATATTCATTTATCACAGCTAGTGATTGTTCCTGGCTTCTTTTGATCATAGCCAACTTCTTTCCCTTGGGAGAAAGTATTTCTTAATATGAAAAAGTTATCCATTTGCTTCTGCAATTAACTATAATCACTTCGTTTCCATTTTCTTGCCATAATGCTCCTAATATGTTCACCCTGCCCAGCTCTGAATGAACATCTGTAATATTTTGTCTATGGCAATATGTACAAGAAAGATGCATAAATATTAGACAGAATAATAAATAAAACTTTATGTCTCTGCATACACAGAGAAAAATGAGTAAAAATGCTGAACTGCTTTCCAAAATGACTTACTCCTTGTACTCCATTCAGCTTGAATGACAGGTCAGCCAATGAAAGTTAGAATCACAAACACAAGGTTATTGAAGATGATTCTTAGAGTGGTTATTCTTTAAAGTCAATACATGGACCCATGTTCCTGAACTGCTTCTGGAAATTCTACTTGTGTTTTTATTTTACATTCTCTTCTACTGTTCGTTTGTTTACATATTCATGTGGAGGAGTTAGTGAAAATGAATTATGAATAGCAATTCTCTGTACTTTCAAATATGATAGTAACACTGTTTTGAAAGGAGTTATCCCCCACAAAAAGGACTCCTTCCCTTGAGCAGCTTTTTTACCTCAAGGCCTTGTATCTTTGCCTGGAAATTCAGCAGTGATGCTGGTGTGGTAACACCCACTGGGAGTCACTAGAAAAACACAGAAAATCTGGGTGTGAGTAGATTTTCCAATGCAACTGGAAAAAGAATGATTTCACCTTATGCTGTGTACAGAAGACAAGTAGTTTAAATGCGTCCTTAAGCCTTAGAATCATGGGGTTTCAGGTTGTATTTTCCATGATTATTGTCATCTTCAGGATGAACAGATAATGTAGAGGATATTTGATACAACACTAGATATATGTAAGGTGAGATTTTGATGGCATTAAGAAGTAGTTAAAAACAATTTATCTCCAGAGTAGTCCAACCAAAAGCAATAAAACTTCTTGCAATATAAAATGGTGAGCAGAAAGTATAAGGCGGCCTAAATGTGTCTTCTTGTGTTTGAACTTCTTCTACAAGGTAGGTAGGAAAGGTCAAATGTATATTCAGAAAACAGGAGGCTGATTGATGCAGTAAACCTCAAGGCCCTTTCTTCTGTTTCCAAAAAAACTGAGCATAAAACCCCTGCGCTCCCCAGAAAATAAAGACCTCGGAGAACAGAGACCAGAAACATCTGATCTCCCCAGGGATTCAACCTTTTTATTTGTAGTGATGATATCTGTAAGAAAGCAAGGCAGTGACTGATTCACAAACCACAATGGGAGTTTCAAGGGTATTTGCCCAGTGAGTTTGCTCAGGTGATTTCTACAAATCTTGGCTATTTCTCAATTATTTTTATTGCAGTTTTAAAATTCATCTATGCCATTTCCCATGTGAAAAACAAAACCCACACAGGTTTCTTGTGCAGTATTAACATTCTCCAGCTCTGTATGAGGTCCCACATATCAGACTGGAGACCCCAATGAAAAATGAATGTGTTTCTTGTTTCTCTAAAACAGAAATAGGAAAGAACTTTGCCTAAAAATTCATCAGTTTAGGGTCCTGGCTCTGTATCCAAATATCTACCAACATTTTAACTGAGAGCAAGTATTTAAAAATCATCTTCTCCTGTAAGCCTAGCAATCCAAATTGAAGTAAAAAGAGCTTTTGAAGTAGTTAAGAGCTCTGCTTCCTTTAGCAGCGCCACATGAAACTATTCGAAGTAGACATCTCTTAGAGTCAACAAAAGGTTCTGCTGCCAAGAGAGGAAGAGAATCAAGCCATAAAAGAGGAAAAACAAATTGTTTTGCACTAAAATTTGTTGGCAGTTTTCATACTGGAGTCAGAGCCTGTTTTCCTCCTGCCACAAGTAGATGAGACTAATGTTGAAGATTACAGCATCGCTGACACAGCCACAGCCTTCTTTATGATCCCAGTTTATACAGCAGAATATCCCACAAGTGCACAGGCTCTTTAAAGATATCATCATGGGGAATTTCCTTCAATAAAACCTTATAATAGAATCATAGAATCGTTTGAGTTGGAAGGGGCCCTTAAAGGCCACCTAATCCAATTCCCCTGCAACGAACAGGGACACCTACAGCTTTATCAGGTGCTCAGAACCTCCCCCCCAGCATGACCTTGAGTGTCTTCAGGGTTGGGGCATCCACCTCCTCTCTGGGAAACTTGTGTCAGTGCTTCACTACCCTTACTGTTTCAAAACAAAAACAAAAACACAACTTTTCTTATATCCAAGAAATACATAATTTGAAAACATTTCCCCTGGATACATTATCTCCAGGGGTTTGTGTCATTTCTCTGGATTGATTTAATGCAGGCAAATCTTTCCAATGTTTTAACAATTCTTCGGTTGTGTTGTTATAATGCTTTTCAATGTTAGGATACCACAAGTATTTATTTGTTTTTGATTTTGAAGGGGTTTTATCAAGATCTTCTTGAATGTAATGAGAGATTTTTTTCATTTACTTTTATGGTGCATTTCCATCAAGTTCAAAACATTCTAGTCAATGCCCTCTAAGTCTGTCCGCTTAAAAAAAAAAAAAGAAAAAAAAAAGTGATTCAAATATAAATATTTTTAATGACTCACCTTAAGAAACTGAAAGAATTACGTCATTTCAAACCCTGCCCAATCTTTGTAGTTTCTACTGGACTTTCAGTCTGCCATCAGGAATCTGAGATCACTTTATTTTCCTGCAAATTCTTAGCTCTTTACAGTCATCAGTGCCAGTGTTTGAACTGCAAAATCTTGATTTGGAATTTCTGGCAGATTTGTACAGAACAGTATCTCTAATCCCTTTCAATACATGTTTTGTAAGCTGAAAGAAAGGGATTTTTTTAACATAGGCAAAATTTTACAAAGGTTCTTACCTAAAAAATTTCCCCTAACACAATCCTCTTTAAAAACGTGAAACCCAACACCAAATAGACACTAATTCAAATTTGTAACAAAAGCAGGAAAAGGTGGGAGTGCCAGTTGATATAAGTCTCAGAATCTGAGCCAGACAACTTAATAACACTGTTTATTAGAGAAGCCTGTAATCCCCTTAGAGCTATTCAGCAGAACACTGATATTTTTCTGAAATCTGATTGGAAGCAGATAGGATTTCTTGAACTAAATGTGAACAGCTTTCCAGTACACCTCATTCCTCTTCCTCCCCCCCTCCCCCTTCATCTTTTACTCCCAAATGCTACAGACCTTGATGCTCCACCATCCTCTCCATCCTCTCACTTGATGATGAGGTGAAACTGCTGCTCTGAAATAGGGAGGGATGGAAAGGTGAAAAGGCGATTATCTACAGTTCTTCTCATAATGGCATGGTAAGAGAGCTTGTTGATGCTGCCACAGGTTCCTTTCCTAGCATTGTGTAGTGGTAATTCAGGTAAACTGCTCTCTTTGTGTGGATATTAATTTCTGCTATATAGATTTGGGTTTCAGCTGCATGGGTGCAGCTACAAACATGAGGGAAACTGGCACGTAATGCATCTGGTTGTGTGTGGGCATTGTTCCCTCACATTTTCTTCATGTTTAGCAATACTTGTGTTCCCATTCATGGAAAGCTGCATCTCAAATATGTGAAGTGTCCCCACTTGCATACAAGGCCCTGGCTGAGTTGTTAGTGTGTGGTGAACCCTCATTGCTGAGAGCAAAGAGTGGTGGTTTGACAGAGCTACAGAGAAATTTAGAATGACAGGAAACTATGATCTTGTTTGAACTTGAGAAAGAGTGAATTTCTGTTTTAAAGCACTTTATCTAAACAGCGCTTAAGGAAGGAAATCTTGTGAACTCTTGTTAAAAACCTATAGCTATAATTTAGCAACTCCTTTCATCTAGCATGAAGGGTTT